GGTGCGGTGACCACGGGGAGGGTCATCAGGGAACAGTCGTGATTCGGTCTGCGGGGATCATACGTGGGAGGACCTCAGGCCTGTGTGGTCCCCAGTCCCTCCCTTCTCCCCAGTGGCACCCGTTTTCTCCTGAGTTTTCCAAATGTTTGGGAAGTAGGGTCTCAAATCCATTCCATTTGTGTAGGTGGAAATCTTTCACTCTTTCTTTCCCTGAGCATGTGTACTGTTTCTGAGGTCTGTTTTTTACTTTGGGTGTTTTCAAATAAAATCCTAGGCTTAGACTTGCAGAGCAGAAGTGTTCAAGTATGATTAAGTATTTACAAACCAATTACTTTTCCTGGAAATATAATTAACTGACATCTTTTTCTGAAAAGAATATAGATATTAGGGGTTTTCTAATTGAACTAGTGAAAGACCCTTTTGTTTCCTTCGTTTTCATATAAATGCTGGGTTTGTGTGATTTCGGTGGATTGTTCAAACATTGGATTTTTGGCATTTAAAATATCAAAATATTCCAAAGCAACTCCAGTAGGGAACAGAGACCTGAGGGCAGGGATCTAAGCTAAGGCCCCCTTTACCTGCAAAGTGAAGTACTTGAATGCCCAGAGTTCTTCCTGGGGAGCCTCCCCTGCAGGTGTCCTACCTGCTCACACCCACCATGGAGGGGCCTTTACCCTGAGAGAAGCTGTAGCCCTGAGGTTTTACTTGTGGCCCTTTGGGCCTGTTTCTAGACATAGGTAGGACTTTTGCGACCACAGTGCATGTGCGCTCAGAGTGTAATTTGTGCACATTGAGAAAGTCTGTGAAAGGAGTTCTGTGTCCTGGGTTAAGGTGCATGAACTGGGAGTTCATTTGGGTCAGAACCTTATACTGAATTCAGCTGAGAGTTTCTTCACTGTGAGATGAGTGAGGCCTGAGAGAGGCAGCGTTTCCATTATTCCCCGGGGAGAGGAGGGTATGGGAGCTCCCAGAGCTCATTCCTGGGGCTGCTCAGGGGTCCCTCCCTCCTTTCCCAGGGACTGACACCCACTCCAGGGGTTCTGTCTCAACCTGAAGAGCCTGGAATGTGGAACTTTCTGAAAGCGGTTTCCTTCTGTCCTGTGGGAAGCAGGCTGCCCATCTGAGCTGATTCCAACACCTGTGTTTCTTGCCTTTGGATCCTTTATCAACTGAATAATGTAACCCTTTGACTCTGGTTTCCCTGAGCACTGTGTAATTTTATTCCCTGTGACAGAAATAAAATTTTTAGTTTCTTGGGATTAAAAATGTAAGTTGATTATGATGTCAATAACACAAGAAAATTGTGGAATTAAATAGACTTTTTGTTCCTTTTAGGCAAGAGAACCTCAAGATGTGATATGAATGTGCTTAAGTTTTCAGGTCCATTTTTCATTTTTACATCAGTGTTTTGTACGTGAGTATCCCAGCAGAACATTGAAATTTAAAAAGCTAAAGTAATTGAATTTCTATTTTATTTGATGTGGGGAAAACTAATCAAAGTTTATGTAAATTGTTGAAAATCCTACTCCATTTAAGGAGGCAAACCCAAATGCCTATTGCATCAGAATATGCTACTTATCCTGAAAATACCCCATATGAGATATAGGGAAAGGACAAACTAGGATGCAATTTGTCTTTTTAGTTAGCAAGAGATTTGAAAATTTTCACTTTGTATGGGTTACACTTTTACAACCATTGTGCTAAAGGAATTAAATCTTAGGATGGGTTCCTATGTACAAAAGTTAAAGTTAAAGATTAGTAAATTGTCATACATGGTCACACAAATTTCTCGGTTTATTTTAAATGAATTTGTAAGATAAAAAAATCTAACTTAAGAAGACTCACCGCCCACATATCTCTCAGTTTTTGCCTTGCGTATTTTGCTCCTGTATTGTCATGCACACACATATGAAGGATTGCTATGTCCTCTTGGAAAACTGACTCCTTTATATATTATATAATGCCCTTAAGGGATTGAGCCCTTAAACTGTAGAGTCTGATGTTAACTCTGGTTAGTAGTAGAACTGAATTGTATCATAGGCCACCCAGGTGGTGTCAGAGAGGTGGAGAAGTGGTTTGGAAAACACACCACATATTCACTGTCAGGAGGATAAATAGCCAGTGAACCTCACAAGTGTTTTTAAGTGTCTGCCACCAGCCTCAACTTAGGTCAGGCAAAAAGGCCAGAGGGGACTTAAGTTGCCAATTTCTCTCCCCCACGTTGTTTTGACGCTGGTAAAATCCCAGTCTACTAGGCTCTGGTGAAACAATCTTTGAGGACAGGCTTTGTTCAGAAGAGCAGAATATTGTGCGCATATTTTAAACTGGCTATTTCCCTGTCCCTCTTTCCAATTTTGGAGACAGCAGTTTGCCCTGCGACCTCAATTCTTTGATAGCTCTAAGAAAAGTTGTTGATTTTAAGTTTGCTTTGTTTTCTGGTGAAGATGGAAATGTCACCTTCTAAGCTCCTTACAATGCAAATGAGTAACCGGAGGTCTCTTACTCTGTTTTAATGTTTGATTGCTGGTGTGTTGGAAAAACCCAGTATTCGTCCTGAGTATATAAAACCCAGTTCTTCCCTCCTGTGCGTCTCTTTCACTTTCACCTAGAACACTTCAGTTCTGACACTTCTGGTCATAAAATATGTGAGGATTTTTCCCCACAAGAAGCAATTCTCTGTGACACCAGCTAGTATCCTACAATTTAATTCAATCATAACACTATGTATCTGGAGATAATGTAATATCCTATGGATTAGGTCTCAGTCCCACAAGATTGCCCGCCACACACACACACACACACACACACACACACACACACACACACACACACACACACGTGCACACATTTCAGATGCTAATAGCAAGTAGTAGGTCTCTAGTTTACTCACAACTTCTGTCTGACTTGGCTACAAATCAGAGGTTCCTATAGACACCTCCTTGGGTTCGATTAATTTACTGGAGCAACTCACAGAACTCAGAGAAACACTTATGTTTACCATTTTATTAAAGGATATGATAAAGGATACAGCTGAACAGATAAATGAAGAGATATTTAAGGTGAATTCTGAGAAAGTCCCAGTGAAGTTGGAGTGTGTCACCTTCCCAGTATGTGGCTATTCTCACCAACCTGGAAGTTCTCTGAACCCCATACTATTGGGAATATGCAGTCTTCCTCACATAGGCATAATCAATTTTTAGCTCCATTTTCGACCCCTTTCCCCTCTCTGGAAGATGGGGTGGGTGGGACTGAAAATTCCAAGCTCCAAAGAATGGCTTAGTCTTTCTGATGACAGACCCCATCCAGGAGCCATCCAGGAGCCCAAACAGAGTTGTCTCATTAGAACAAAAGATGCTCCTAGTGCTCTTATCACTTCAGAATTTACAAGGGTTTCAGGAGCTCTCTGCCAAGAATCAGGGTTAGAGACCAACATACATGCAGACCTTGCTTTATTGTGCTTCATGTTGTGTTTTTTACAAACTGAAGGCAAGACCTTCAACCAGTAAAAAGATTCCGACTCACTTTATTACAATACTCACTTTATCGTGGTGGTCTGGAACTAAACCCGCAATATCTCCAAGGTATGCCTGTATATATTTTCTATTATCTGACATTATCTTACCCCACCTTCTTTCTCATGTGCCCCACATCTGTACAAAGTGAATAAAATAAAAGCCTGGCTGCTCACTCCTTTGGTGCTGGCAAGAGATTCAATCCATGAAAGCTCCCTCTGTGTGTCTGTGCATGTAAACACTCACCCTAGCCCACCCCCCTAATCTCAATTTAAAAAACCCAGGCCAAGATCCTTTCCTTGCTCTCTCAAGCCATTTCACAATTGCTTGAGAGGCCTGCCTTGCCCTCCCCAGACACTTCCATTATGAAAGTCATAAAGGCTTTCACACATTCCTGGTAGGTGTGTGCTAGTCTCCACCAGTCAACCAAACCTTGGGTGGTATCGGGGGTCCACCTGTTTCTGCAGGTTATAGGAAAGGTAACATGGTGTATATATGGCAATACACTTTGCTTATTTGTTCTATTGATAAATTTTCCAGATCTTTTCAATAACCATTGTTTTGAAAAAGTACATATGATGATGAATTTATGTAACTACTCTTTCTAAATAGACACATGACTTGTTAGCAATTTTTGCTGCCAAAACTGTGAATGAAAACTCAGATTGCCACATTATAGGACAAACGAACATATACAAATTATGTTCTTTTCCAACCTTACTTAAAAATTTTATCATCAAATATATTAAAAAAAAGACTGTACAAACTGTGTTGTGGTAAGACTTAGTAATAACAATATGAACATCCTTGGAATTATCATTGATTCATAAATGGCCTGTGGACAGTGGCGAGGGTGTCCTGATGTTCCTGTTTCTGACGCATCTTGGTCCTGCCCCATAGATGACCACTGTCTTGATTCTTGATTCTTCATACTTTTGCCATCTACTATTTTTCACTAAGCAGTGTTCTTTCAATTGTGCCTCCTTTGATATTTCCAGGAATGAATATTAATGGAATTCCTTGAAAAGGCTTTCCGGTGGTTACTTTGCCTCATATGTTTCACACATGCTGGCATCTGAGGGCTCGGATCTGGTCTAGGACTGTGGGGTTCAAACTTCCCACCAGAGCCAAGTGCCTCTAAGACCACAGGATTCTTTAAAAGTACCAGATGAGTGGGGTGGAGGAAGGAAGGGCGACGTCTCCCTGTTGGAACCAGTCAAATATCAAAATGGAACCAGACTCATCATTACCTATGGTGAGGTCACTTTTAAGTGTCTGTGTTTGTGAAGAAGGGTCACAGTTCCGTGAATGGCCCGGCGGCCTTATGGTTAAACAGAGCCATTGAAAAAGACAGGTTCCGATCCACTGCCAAGACAAAGTCAGCTCAAAGGCAAGACCTCCAGCCTGCTGTCACTCAGGCAAGGAAGGGCGGGGCCTCATGAACTGTCCAATCAGAGCGGTCGCAAGTAACGTACGTGGGGGCGGTGCTCTATGGTGGTGTGGACTGCGTGCTCGTAGCTTCTTCCTGCGGCCGCACCCGTGTAGCCTCTCGCTGCCCTTAAAGGCTGCTGGTGGCTCCGCCACATCTTCTGTCCATTGACCTGCACTTGCCGCAAGAGTCGAAGGCTGGAAAGCAGGGAACCCCAGAAACCGAGAAATGGTGAGTGTAGGGGGCCGGGTTGTCGGAAGACGGGGAAGGAGGGTTTCGTGAAACCAGCGTGCCAAGACCCGGCCTCCTCACGGTCACTCTGGAGTTTTCAGATGCGAGTCCGCCCGGAATGCGGCATGCAGCTTTGGGGCTCGGCCAGCAACCGGAATCCCCTGGAGTTTTCTCTGGTCACCGTGCGGCTCTGTCTCCACAAGAATTTTCGGTGACCACTGAAAGGGCCATCGGGACAATCGGGACTCGGTCTCTGGAGTTCCTAGGTGGGAGGAGCGGTGGTCTGCGGGGTCCCCAGGCCCTCCTTTCTCCCCAGCGGCACCCATTTTCTCCTGAGTTTTCCAAATGTTTGGGGAGCAGGGCCTCAAATCCACGATCCTGTCCACCCAGCCTAGATCTTCCTGGGATTAGCAGTAAATCCCTAAATTTCCAGATCTTTCCCCGCATTCCCAAACGCCATCTTCCCCTCTCCAGTTCACAGCATCATTATTAACTGTTTGTCCTCCGTGGTGCATTTCACACTACACAGTATTTTAATTATCATTTCTCCACACAGCCATGGATGGCTTTTTAAAGATTTATTTATTTATTTATTTATTTATTTATTTATTTATTTATTTGCTTATTTATTTATTTGCCTGTGGATATTTTACATAAGAGGAAAGCCGAGAATAATCAGCTGGAACTATTTTGTATAAAAAGCCTCGCGCCTCTCTCCCCAGTATCTTTCTTGGGCACCGACATCCTATGGGTGTACCCCTGTTTGGAAACTCCTGGGTGATCTGTTCTTTCATCACAGTTCCAGGTCAGCACTGCCCCTCTCTGAGTTTGTGACTTTATTCACTTTCTTTCATTCTCCATTTTTCAATAAATATAAATGTATTTAATCAGTAGATCTTGAAAGACAGTATAAAATATTTCCGAAGAGGCAGGAAAGAGGTGAATTTCAGAAAAAAATAAAGTCCATTATTGTATTCCATTTGTTAAAATTCTTGTTTCCTTTTTTTTTTGTCCATGAGCAGGTGTAGCAACATTCTAAGATCTTTTCTTTTGGGTGATTTCAAATGCAATATCAGGGCTTAGACTGGTAACACCTGGAAGTGTGTTCATTATGACTGTTTTCCAAACAATTACTTGCCATGGAAATATAATTAAGTGACATTTATTTTCAGAAAGGAATAGCAGGTTTTCTTATTGAACTAGAAAAATGCCTTACCATTTTCTTCTACCCTTTACACATAAACACTGGATTTGAGTGACTTTACTGGACTGTTCAAACCTTGGGTTTGTGTATTTAAAATATCTGTGGTGGTGCAGAGTACCTGGTGCAAAGCAGAAGCCTGAGGTCAGTGACCCAAGCTAAGGACCCCTTGAGCCTGCAAAGGAAGTACTTGAAGGCCCAGTTGGTTCTTTCTGGGGAGCCTCCCCCTGCAGGTGTCCTCACACTCATCATGGAAGGAGCCTTTACGCCGAGAGAAGCTACAGCCCTGGAAAGCTGGGGGTGCAGGAGTAGGGGATGGGGGGCTGTGATCCCCTCTGTAAGGTTGTATCTGTGGTTTCCTTGGGCCTGTTTCTAGACATAGACTTCAGCATTGCATTCACAGTGTAGGTGCACTCACGGTAATTTGTGTACATTGAGAAAGTCTGAAGGTCAGTTCTGTCTTCTAGACAAAGGGTTTATGAACTTGGGAGTTTTGGTGGGAGGGGGTGAGAACCTTAAATTGAATCTGGCTAAGAGTTTCCTCACTTGTGAGAATTAAAGCCAAAGAGGGAGCCTTTCCATTCATGTGCAGGTTTGTTTATGAACGTAGATTTTCAGCTTATTTGGGGACATGAGCATGATGGCTGGATTATATGATAAGAATAGGTTTAGTTTATTAAGAAACTTCTTCCATAGTAGGCATACCGTTTTTCCATTTTCACATGCCATGGATGAGGGGCCTATTGCTCCACGTCATTGCCATCATTTGGTATTTATTCTCAATACTTTGAATTTAGCCATTGTAATAAATGTCTAGTAATATCTCATTCTTCTTTTATTTGCAATTCCTAATGATATGTGATGTTGAGCATTTTTCCTATGCTTATTTACCATTTTTTTCTTCTCTAGTGAAGTGTGCATTCAGTTCTTTTGTCCATTTTTAATTGTGTTGTTTGTTTTCTTGTTGGATTTTAAAAATTCTTTAGACATTTTAGATACCAGCCTTTATCAGATTAGCATTTTGCAAAGATTTTTCTCCTATTCTGTGACTTGTGTTTTCAATCTCTTAACACTGTCTTTCACCAGGCAGGTTTTATTTTAATGAAGTCAAACTTATTTTTTCTTTTATCATTCTTGCTTTTGGTGTTGTATCTAAAAATTCATCACCAAACCTTAGGTCACCTAGATTTTCTCCTATGTTATCTTCTAGGAGTTTTGTAGTTTTGCGTTTTATATAAGAGCAATGATCTATTTTTTTTTAAGATTTTTTTATTGGGGAATTGGGGGGATGGGAACAGTGCTGGGGAATTGGGGGAAGGGGAACAGACAAGTTGCTGTCATTTTGTTCTTCAATCTAGTTGTGGAGGATGTTGCTTCACTGGCCCAAGTTGGCACCATCATTGCGCTCTTCTCTGGCAAGGCAGATCAGTCACCGGC